CCCCCAAGGCAGGAGGGGGCTGGGCAGTTGGCTCTACGGCTCCCTCCCACTCTCCCTCTAGCTTGAACTCTCTTCCTGGCTGTAAGTGCAGAGCCCAGGAGGCTGAAGGGACTGTCTCAGGCCCCAGGGCAGGCTGACTTGCCCTCACCCAGCCAAGGAGGCACAAGAAGCCGGGAGGAGTCACAGGAAAGCTCCAAGAGGGAGGGACACCAGCAGGGGCAGAGACCTGGCCAAACTTAGGAGGTGCTGGCCCCAGTCTTGCCTGGTCCTTGCCGGTTGTCAGTAGCCTCACTGATTAGGACTAAGCCCTGGAGTTACCACATCCCCCTCTGAGCACAAAGACCCCATGTGGGGAGTGAGGACAGGTGGCCCAGCCTGGCTGTGGCATTCCTGAGCTGGGGAGACTGCAGAGAAGGTGCTGGCATATTGGAATGCCACCCAGACAGGTCAGGCAGGTTCCTGGACAGCCAGCTCCACCCCTCCTGCCTCCCCTCCCAGGACAGCCTGAGCAGGGGAAGGGGTTCATGCTCTGGAATGCAGACTTTGGGCTGTCTTGCACACATCTGGCCAGCCTGGCAGTCAGGTGGACTCCAAGGTCAAGGGAGCTGACTATACCCAGGTCGGGATCAGCGCTGGGGTACAGCACTGGCTCTGAGTCCTCACCAAGGCCTCAGGGGCCTGCTGAGGGTATCACCAGCAGGGCCACAGCCAGGGGAGGCTCAGGGAGCCAGGAACCCAGGGGCAAAGGAGACATGGAGCCTTGAGGGAGAGGCAGCTGGCTGGGTGGCCGCTGGATGGCTGCACACTGTCCCAGCCCAGGGAGGCGCCAAACTTTGCCCCCATTGAGCAGAAGTCTGGAGTCCCAGGGGATAGGGAACCAGATCCTCAGCCTCCTGTCTGGGTTGGGGAATGACCCCAGAGTTAAGGGGAGCTCTGTTTGACATAAGAAGTGACTCCCCCCCCAAAAAAAAGAAAAGAAGTGACTCCCAGGTTGATGGCAATGGATGGAAAGGGTGGGGGGGTGCAGCATAGAGAAAGGAATTCACTAAGGCTCTATTGACATCGCCTGTCCCCTCATGGACCCTATGGACCCCTAGGTGGGCCCTACAGCACTGGGCCTCCCAGAGGCCGGCAAGGTATAGCTCTCACAGCCCTCCAGGCTGCTACTTGTTTTTGTTTTACAAGAGGAGAAAAGAAGGAAAGACTTAGAGAAATGTGAGCGCCATCAAAGGGATTTGCAGGCCAAGCCCATGATCTTTCCAGAAAGTCAGGACCAGAGAGGCCCAGTGGGAGGGGAAGGCGGCAGGCGGGCTTACCTGACTGCAGCAAGCCAGCTCCTCGGTCCTTGACCCCGAAGTGCTGCTGGATGTCCAGAAGGACTCCTGGGAGGGGAGACAGGGCACTTACTGAGTCTGGTGTCTGGGTGCCCAGCCCCCTACCCCACCCAGTGACCCCCGACCCCAGCCCTCTTTCCACCTTGTAGGCCCAGGCTGGTCCCATCTACAGAATATCACCCTTCCCAGTGTAGCCAGGCCACTGGGGACCTTGGAGGCCCCCGCTTCCTTCCTTCCTGGCCCCCTGAGCTCACCCTGAGAATAAGGTACCACCCCTCACTTGGCCCTTGGAGGGGTCTGAGGCTCCTCTGTGGAGGATCGGCAGCCAAGCCGCTTTCCTATCTGCCAGCTTGGGCCTCTTGCCCATGTGCCACCCGGTGCCACGCTGGGTCCTGAGGCCTACCCTCAGGGATACCAGAGATCAGATGCACAGCAACTGAAAGCTGCAGGGAGCCCCTTGGCCAGAGAGAGGGCAGGGGGCTGGCAGCCAACACTCACCTGCTCACCAGTCTGTGCACACAAGCACACTCACACCCACCCAACTGTCCCCAGGATTATAACCAGGACTCCCAGTTTTCTGATGCAGGAGTCAAGACTCAGTGGAAGGCAAGCAAGGATCCAGGCCAACTTTAAAGTTGGCCTGCCCTTTTCCCAAGCCCACACCACCTCTGTCTCCTGTTAGGGCTTTGCATGTTGGGGGGTGGGGAGTGGGGATTGCAACCAGAGCAACTGCTTGTGAACAGACTGTATGGGGGACCAGCAACCCCGGGGGGCCCCTCGCACATCTCCAAGCTCTCAACCAGGGCTTCTGAGGAAGCAGATCTCCAGATCCCCACCTCCCCTTATCTCTGAGGACAGCAGTTGGTTCGGTCACGGTTCAGAGCCCCTAACTACTGCACAGAGCATTGAGAAGGGACAGGGAAGAAAGGAAACGGATATAAAGCGTGAGTCAGGACACACACGCATGTGTCCCGACATGGAAGACAGACTCAGACGCTGCTTGCTTTCCGGGGATTCCCAGAGCTTTCCCTGACGGTGCTGATGACGTCAGCATTTAAAATGATGAACATTAAGCCTTTCCTGGATTAACCCTCACTCTATAAGTCTGGTATTTTTTTATTCCACTGGACAGATGAGGAAACTTAGACACAGGAAGTTAAGCAGATGCTCAGACACACAACGGGGAAATGGGCGGAAGTGGAATTTCCAAGTGCTGGTGTGTGTGTGTGGTCCCACCTAGCATGGAACTGGGGGCAAGGATGAGGGGGAGGGTGTCACTGTCCCTCAGCTGGCATGCTAAGCAGTTTCCTGAGCCACAAGGTCAGACCCAGCTGGTGTCCTAGCAGCCCAGAGCCAAGAGAAGCTGGCCTCCTCCTTGTTAATGCCTCAAGTGGATTTACCATAATTACCCATAATGAAGAGGCCATGTGAGGCCTAGTTAATGACTTAATAACCAAGGCAGGTTGTGGCCTTGCCTTGGAGGCAGAAGCCAGGAGCTGGTCCAGGGCAGGTAGATGGTGGAGCCAGCAAGTGGAACCTCCGAGTTGTCCCAGTCTGGTGTTAGAGAGGTCAGGAGTGCCCTCTGAGCCTGTGAGAGACTAGGCTGGACCCAACCTTGGGGAGTCACTCATACTCACCTGCCAGGCCCAAAGCCCATCCCCCCTCCTGAGCCAGGGCCTCTGCTCTCCCTGAGCTGTGGACCTGATACATCCCTCTCTCACGCAGCCACCATCACCCTTGGCCACAGGTGCTCAGGAGAGGACCAAGCCCGGTACCAAGTTCATCCCTATCGACCCCACCCTCCAACCTCACTCCTCGGGACACTACCCCTTTCCACACTCCAACCCCCCAAAACCATTCAACCCCTCTCTCCCCGACTGCACACACTCCCTTTTATTGCCCTGGCACAATTTTGTGGGCTATGCTAATCCCTACTGCTCTTTCCAAACTAGTTCTGATGCGTCTTCTTCTGGAATGTCTCCCTTGATTTCTCCCCCTATCGCCACCCTTAATAAACTTGCTCCCTGCTCCCTACCTGTCCATTCTTATTTTAGTGCTTGTCAAGCGAGGGTGAGTTAGTTCTATAAGGTAGACACATAGAGACATGAATATGAGCTCATTTGCTACTAGTTATTTGTTCCTGCTAAGTTGGCATTTCTATCCTGGCCACCATTGCTGGTAGTTAATTCCCATTTTACATGTGAGGAAACAGGTTCTGAGCAGTAAAGTAATTTGTCACATAGCACCTAAGGTGTCAGAGTTAAGATCTGAAGCCAGGTCTATTACCAAGACTGAAGTTCTTCACACGCTTCCTCTCTGTGGTTCAGGCCTGACTTCTGGCCCAGGGCCCAGCACACAGCTGACCCAGAGTGGCTGTGGATGATGAGCAGGGACTGCTCACCTCCCACCAGACCCTCAGCCCCTGCGTGCAGGAATATTGCACGTCACCACCAAGCCCAGAAGGGGGGCTGTCACTATGTAATATGGGGGGGAGAAAGGATGGATGAAGTTGGTAGATGAAGCACTGCTCCCCACCCTGGTTTGTAACGAGGGGCTCCATGCATGCCCTGGGGAAGACATGGGTCAGCAGCAACCCTTCTAGTGGTCACCATGGAGATGTTGTGTGTCCACAGCAAATCACAACACTCTTGCTTCCTCCCTGAGGAGCACCCTAACCACCTGGCCCTCCCTCCTAAAACTTCAAGATCCAGGACTGTCCCTGCCTCCGGGAAGCCTCACAGAGCTCCGATAAAGACGGAGGAGCATTTCTCCAAGTCCAAAGTCCCTCAGAATTGTAGACCCCAAGTCACAAAATTACATGGACACCCCCACCCCGAGATCCCCTAGGGCCCAACTTGGGGTCCAAAGCCTGAACTGTCATAGAAGGACAGAAACTTCCTGGGGAGCAGGGCCTCATGTGGGCCACAAGCCCCAGGTCAGGCCTGACCCGGGCCTGTGGGGTTGTTTTCCTTCTCCTAGGCCTGGAAGGGCCGTGACCACAGGCCGGGGGGAGCACACTGGCCGCTGGCGTGGGAAGTGTGTGTCACAGCAGCCCGGCCAGCCGTCTCACATTTTCCTCTGAGCTCCAGCCTGGTTTGGGCCCACACACCCCTTCCTTCTTTACCACAGCCTTATTTTTAGCCTCCTCTCTTGGAGGCTGAGGTTTGGTGGGTCACAGGACGGGCCTCACGCCCAGGAGCGGCCTCCAACAGCTCCGGCCAAGCCCATTCCACCAGTCCCAGCAGCTTGAAAACGCCAGGCCCCCTGTAGCTACAACTTCCAATTTGGCTCTCTCCAGGCAGTTGCTTCAAATCCACAGCAAGAATCACCCTCTCTGGTCACAGGGTTCTCATGCCTGGGCCAAAAGAATATTCTAGAATAGCAAGGCCCCTGAATTTTCTAATTTATGGATCCCATTAATACCGCTCCCAAGCCCCTAAGGGTTTTGCCTCTGGTCCAAGGTCAGCTGTCACCTGCTCTACCTAGATCATCCATCCCTCCTGCCCCCCAAGATCTTGCTCAGGTTAGCCCCTGGCTCAAGTCTGTGGGTGCACATCTCCCTTGCTTCTATCATCTGCACATCTGCTCACAAACATCTCTCATCCGGATGGCAAAAACAACCCAACCTCTGACCTCTAACCAGTCGCTCCATCTCTCACCTCATTTCACAGCTCAAGTATTTAATAGAGTTCTCTCCCCTCTCAACCCAATGTCCTCACCTCCATCACTCCCCTGAAACCGATCACCTACTGGTGACTCAACCCCACAGACACTTCCATCCCTCAGTGTTTCTGTCACCCAAATCCAGTTCCTCAGCCCCGCCTCCTGGTCCCCACCCCCTGAACAGGACCACGGCTGTAGCCAGGCCAGAGACCTGGGAGTCAGCCCTCACATCTGACCTGGCCTCCTGTCCCTGTCCTCCCAGCCCGTCCAGCAGCCCCCACTGCCTGACCTCACAGGCATGTACTGCTTTCACGCTAAATCCTGAGCTGGGGCTCCAGAGACCAGCTCTGTCTGGACTCACAGAGCTAACACCATAGCCCAGCGCCTGAACATTCTTCCTGGACCTCAGATTCACGCACAAATATTTCAAACTGGCCCTGGCTCAGTTATACCACCAAGAACAGCAAGAATAGCAAGTTACTAACCCCTGTTGCGTGCTCACTATGGGACGCACGCTGTTTGAGCGTGTACCTGGAGGAGCTGAGACCCATAACACAACAGCTGCCACTGCCACCCAAATGGAGTCCAGTCCCCTAACACCCTCTGTAGACGTGAGACCTGGCCATCTATTACCACGCTAGCTGGGAGACTGGTAACCTGGCACTGCAGGTCCGAGGCCCTGAGTCTCCAGCACCACAGTCTGCAGACCTCCAGCTGATGACAGCTGTGCCGTCTTCCTGGGGTGTCCATCTCCACCTGTTAAGATCCACGCCACCTAAGGCCCAGATCCAAGGTCACAGACTGCCACCACCAACACTCTCCTCTGCAGCAGTTAGTGAGGTGCCTGTCACCTTGAGGGAACCCCCAGAGCCAGAGGGAATCTGGCCCCAGCCTCCCCAGCCAGGCATTTGGCATCACTGCTGGCCCCTGGGGGAGCAGGGTCTAGATCGCAGGACCCCTGGCTTCCTCGCCCTCCTCCTGTCAAACCACCCTGCTGATATCACAAGGTGTAAAAAGAAACCCACACTGACCTTGGGCGCCCCCGGCTCAGGTCAGCCTCAGATGCAAGGTTGGAACAGTAGGATCCTGAGGTCTCTCCAGGCCCAGTCAGCCAGGAGAGGCCACCTGGTACTCAAGCCCAAGTATAATCACCTCCCCATGTTAAGCGTGCCCCTCGGAGCAGCAGGCAGTCGGCTGATTCCCCAAAGGACGGGCTCCAGAGCCAGGCATCTGGGTTCAAATCCTGGCTTTCTCACCTTCCTGGCTCTGTGACCTTAGACAAGTTAGCTAACCTCTCTGTGCCAGCTTCCTTCTCTGTAACGTGTCTTCACGTTAAGGTCTGCTCTGTCCAATGGTTGTGAGGTTTAGACAGATTAAACCACGTT